TTATTCTCTTTGAAGCAATTGTGAATGGGAGTTCACTCGTGATTTGGCTCTCTGTTTGTTATTTGTGTATAGGAATGCTTGTGATTTTTGCACGTTGATTTTGTATCCTGAGACTTTGCTGAAGTTGCTTATCAGCTTAAGGAGATTTTGGGCTGAGACGATGGGCTCACAGACACTTTGAAGGGTGTGTAGATCAGTTTTTATTTGGTGAAAAGTGAAAGAAGGGAAACAGGGACTGTCAGCAAAGTGAGAGTCCTGCTAGCAAGCTTTCTGCCTCACAGATTGAATCCCCAGTTACCACACAGGAATAGAAGGGGCCAGGCTCCTCTTTCTTGCAAATGGCACGAACTTCCCAAGGCCCCACCCTGTTCTCCCAGTGCACAGACTGGTCGGAGGTTCTCCGGGAAGACCTTTTTACTTGGCTGTCTCATTCTCCACTCTAAAGAAGTACATCTAACTGCCATTAGAATAAGGATAAGGATATGGACAAAGACCAATCTTAACTGCTTCCTACTGACAGGGGGTTCTGTTTTGGGAAAACAGCAGTCAAATCTCCCTCAGAGACGTATCTAAGGATTCCTGGCAAAAGGGGCCAATGTCTGAGTTGCATGACCGTTTTGGAGTTTGATGGCCTGAAGGTGAGAAGACACAAACAGGGTTATTAGAAAATATGTATCAAAATGAAATGTGGGGTGGGCGGTAAGGACAGCTCAAAAATCCCAAGGCTTTTTACCAGTTTGCATGGCAAAAGGGGGGCCAAAAGCCTGACTGGTAAGAAAAACTTTTACCTTTTTGCTGGTATGTCAGGCTTCTGGGTTCCCTTCCCCTGAGCCCAATCCTAAGCAGACCAGTTTAAGGTTTGAGAAATTAACTTCCCAATTTGGAGGATGCATCTGAGGGGAGTCTCCCATAGTACGGTCACACAATTACCTATCAGTGAAGAGAGGAGAGAGGAAGAAAAAGGAAAAAAAAGGTTTTTTTCCAAAGGAGTCCCAGGAATTCAGGATGCATTTGAAAGGGGTACAGACTGAAGATGAATGGTTATTCATCTAGAAAAAGAGAGCAGGCATCCCTGGTTCCTTTCTCTTCCTAGCAAATGCCTGGGATATATGAGGGAGGGAAAGTGAGGCATTCCTCTTTCTTTCCTCTGTTCTTGCATCCCTGAGTCCTGGCAGCCATGACAGGGTACCACCCATTGGTGTTTTAGTGGCTTTCACTCATGTTAACAGGGGAGCCTAGAGGATGGAAGTATCAGCTCTTACCCACATATGCTATATCTCTCCTATTGTCAGTAGCCTTTGAATTCCCTAGACCTCATTTATGTCATGAATACTAGCGTAGACTTTATCCATGAAATGGGAAGCTTGGCTTAGTTGGCAGGAATCAGCCACACTCACCTGTACTATGCCTTTTAATTTCCATTATTGTCTGCCTCTGGATCCAGTTTTCTTTCCTAGTGCTTTGACCCAAACCTTGAAATTGAGTTTGGGACCAAAATGTGTCTCAGGGGTGTTGCATGGACTCCTTATTGTAAGCTGAGTG